CCTACTCACTGCCTTCTCGTGGCACTACTAAGGTTTACGAAATCGACAACACGAAAAGCGAATGTTCGGCACTTTAACCGGATCCCAAATCAATGATTCACATGGGCTAGCTCCAGTATCCTGAAGGAACAAATGGCGTATGAACCAATCGTTGGTCACCGGCTACCATGGAACTGCATCTCCTTACGATGCTCCATTGCCTTGTGGACCAGACGTTCAGGTCGAAGGCTCGGGGTGTGGCTCCCTATGAAAACCACCTGCTTTGATTTGGGCACCCGGTCAGTATCACAGCCCTCACACAAATCAATTGAGATTCGTGTGGCACATATCTATTTAGTGCCTCCTTGTACCAATATCTATGTGTCAAAATAAATAAGTAAATCGTATTCATTAGGAATACCTTACAATAAAGTAGACTTCTTTATGATTAGGTCCAATAATCTAAACGATCTTATTAAGTAATTCCAATGGTTGAGATTATGATTCAATTGAAGCTAGACCATCATAGAAAATCTGGAAGCACTGGACAGCCATTTCATCCCATCGTGGAACCCTTCATCAGTGCGCATTCACGATCTCCCCCCCTCCCTCCGCGTGATTTAAACCCAGAGCCTATCAGTCTTACGCGCAAGAGCTTAACCACTAAACCATTAAGCTGATATTCAATGGTGTTTTTCCAGGCTTTCCATAGTGATGGTCTACCTTCAACTAACTCATAATCTCAACCATTGAATGAAATGACTATAATACTATTCATATAAACCCTTTCTAATATTGATCTTATTGAATGATCATTATATAACTTATCTTTATCATTCAAATCATCAACATAAATTATAATCAGTTATATATCTACATTCATCATTACAAACATTCATCGATTAAATCATAGTACTAAATAAGGTAGCGAAAACATTTTAGACTAAACTAATGCGAACATACAAAATGAATAAAAATAAAAGTTAGTTAGAATAGAAAAACAAAACAAAAATAAAAAAAAGGTGGGGAAGGGGGTAGAGATTGAATGAAATGAATGCCAAGAATTGTATGAATTGTTGCCAACTGTTCTTTTGTTGTTGTTTTTTTTTATCAGAAAGGGGGTTTCGTGTGTGTGTGTGTGTGTGTGTGGATATTACAGTCAATTTAATCGTTGAGTTCTTATGAGTTAATTAAAACTAGATCATCATGAAATACCTGGAAGTATTCGACAGCCGTTTCGTCCCATTGTGGAACTCTTCAGCAGTATGCATCCATGAACTCAAGACTTATCAGTCTCGTATGCGAACGCTTAACCTCTAGATCACTGATCTCCGATATCCAATAGTGTTCCATGTCCAACTTCAATCAATCCACGAAATTAAGCCATATATCCACTATTATCTTCAGATTATTTATCCTTAATAGAACAATTATTCACAGGGATTATGTTAAAATATAAGCAGAAATGAAAGAGTATACGTTTTGTTTTTAAAAATCCTGATTGATTCCAATAAGTGATACACTTTTGATTGAATATTGAACAATCAAATAGGAGTTTTTATTCATTCATTCATTCATACACATTGGTATACTTAATCGGATCGATCATGTTAGTAACTAATCTGTTCAACTACCTTAGTTAATTTGATAATTTTGGTATCAACTATGAAGAACTATAAGCAAAGATGGATATGGGTTAACAGTGGAATCCAGGATGTGCATTACTTTGTCCTATTTGGGACTCGTTAGCTGGAGATACCTGCATCTCAAAGTTGATATTCACTTTGGGACTCGAACCCAGTAGCATTCACTTCAAACGCCATCGAGTTATTCACTGTTTAAGGTAGGATTCGTGTAAGATCAGCAATTGGATCAGAACTCCAATCCCTTAACCGAATATTCAACTAAGTCTTCATTATAGATTAATAGTGATGATTTGATTGACTTGAAGCTAATTTTCACCAGTACAAAGCCAAAGTCCAAGATTTCCTACCTACTTTTTAAGATTAATTAATATGAATGCGAACTATATGATGTGTTTAGATTTCACAGTTGAAATGATATCCTGGAATTATTGTTCATATCTTTCACAGTATTACACAATCACAAAAATACCTAAACGTATATTTGTAAGTGTTTGTATTATCCTCCTGTCGATAGTTAAAACTGACCTTTGATCAATCCCTGTTGTCATATTCGCATCCTAGTTGAGACCGATAGATTAGAGGTTCGAATCTCGCGAGGCGGGATCCTAGAATGAGCACTTCTGTGGAGTCCCATACTAAGACGAAACGGCCTTCCAGTGCTTCCAGGTTTTCCATGGTAGTCTTTATTTATTTATTTTAACACATAGATATTGGTACATGGAGGCACCAAATACCTATGCACCGCACAGATCTCATTTGATATGTGTGAGGGCTGTGATACTGCCCGGGTGCCCAAACAGAAGCAGGTGGTTTTCAGAGAGGGCCACACCCCGAGCCTTTGGCCTAAAGGTCTGACCCACAAGGTAGTGGAGCATCGTAAGGAGACGCAGTTCCATGGTAATCGGTGACCAACGATTGGTTCATACGCCATTTGTTCCTTCAGGATACTGGAGCTAGCCCATGTGAATCATTGGTTTGGGATCCGGTTAAAGCGCCGGACATTCGCTTTTCGTGTTGTCGATTTCGTAAACATTAGTAGTGCCACGAGAAGGCAGTGAGTAGGACTTCTCTGGCAGGGGTATATACGCGAGGCCATGTGAGAGCATGGTTGTCTTGCTTCAATTGAATCATGAATTCAATTTTTAAATTTTTAGGTAAATTTAGTATGTAGCTAATAATGAAATTCAGAACTCATGTTTTGACCTATTTATAACTTATTGGGTGGATTTACACCTACATCATAGTGCTGATAACTCCGCCTGTAGCTCTTCTAGAGTTACTGCCGGTCCCAAGCCTGGGTAAATGAGGAGGGTTGGGCATGGGGTTAGCGTCCCCATCCCGTAGAAAACTAACTCGCTAAAAAACGCTAACTTAGTGTTGATGTTCACATGATGATCTATATTCCAGAACCAATCGTTTTAAATGTCGACAATTTATTCACTGATCTATTTTGAGCATAGATAGTCGATAACTTAATTAAAGTGTATTTAATCATTTGTAAAGGCTTATATTTACACGAAGTTAATAATTAAGTATGAGGACGGTCCACAGGTGAACTCGAGGAATCTCTAAGAAGCTCAGAAAGAGCCGGAGATATTCCATCCAATCATCTTTTAGAAGAAGATTCCAGAATCCTTACATGTAGCTTCCCTATTGGACAAATGCTAATTACGCCCTGTATGTGGATTGCAGGACTATAATGATGATTTGGTTTTTACTAAAACCAATAAATACCTAAAAGTTCTGTACCATAAATGGCACTGTTATGGAATAATATTCCTTCCACTTGTCTTTTGTCTTCTCTTTTGCGACTTGGGAGTGTTCTAGCGTTCATATGTTCTAGTTTTACGCGGTATAATAAGAAACGAAGCTCTTGATATAACATTAAGTTCTCGATTGATCAATATTGGTATCCATTTGGATCCTTGATGAATTGGCGTGATACTTCGTTGCAATTATCAACTTCATTAACTACGAAAAAGCATTTGACAGTGTGGACTGAACAACACTATGGAAGCTTCTTCGACACTACGGCGTGCCTGATAAGACAGACAATATCACACAGAGTTCCTATGATGGATTAAACTGCAAAATCGTTCATGGAAGACAGTTGAAAAAGTCGTCTGAAGCAAAGACCGGTGTCAAGCAAGGTTGCTTACTCTCACCTTTCTCCTTCTCCTGGTGACCGACTGGATCATGAAGACGTCAACATCTGAAGGGAAGCACGGGATACAGTGGACATCTAGGATGCAGCTGGATGATCTAGACTTTGCAGATGATCTGGCTCTTCTATCGCAAATGCAACAACAAATGCAGGAGAAGGCGACCAGTGTAGCAGTAGCCTCAGCAGCAATAGGTCTCAACATACACAAAGGGAAAAGCAAGATTCTCCGGTACAACACAGCATGCATGAATCCAATCACAATTGACGGAGAGGATTTGGAAGATATACAAACCTTTACATATTTGTGCAGCATCATCGATGAACACGGTGGATCTGATGCAGATGTGAAGGCACGGATCGACAAAGCGAGAACAGCATATTTACAACTGAAGAACATCTGGAACTCAAAACAATTGGCAGCCAACACCAAAGTCAGAATTTTCAATACAAATGTCAAGACAGTTCTACTGTATGGCGCGGAAACCTGGAAAACTACGAAATCCGTCGTCCAAAAGATACAGGTGTTTATTAACAGTTCTCCATGCAAATTACTTCAGATCCGTTGACCGGACACTATTAGCAACAACCCTACTGTGAGAGAGAACAAATCAGATCCCAGTGGAGGAGGAAATCAGGAAGAAGTGCTGGAAGTGGATAGGACACACATTGAGGAAAACACCGAACTGAGTCACAAGACAAGCCCTCACATGGAATCCTCAAGGTCTAAGGAGGAGAGGAAGACGAAAGAACACATTACGCCGAGAAATGGAGATAGACATAGGAAAAATCAACAAAAACTGAATGGAACTAGAAAAGAATGCCCATGACAGAGTGGGTTAGAGAGTGCTGGTCGGTGGCCTATGCTCCATTAGGAGTAACAAGCGTAAGTAAGTAACTTTCTTGCAATTGCAAACTATATGCAAGTACTTTTTTTTATCAAGAAGTTGTCACCAGTAGAGTTTATACATCTTTAAAGTGAGATGGTATTTATTTTAAGAGTTCGACAGTCCTTACGTTATGTAGCCAGTTGTATAAAGGAAAACAATGTGAACCTTTGAACTTGGATCTATTCATATGAGTCTATCAAGTTCATCAATAGACTTTAAATATGTTGAGTAGAAACTGTGTATTATCTCTGCAACCATTTACTTATGATATGTATCTAATCTCTAATTAATTATCCAATATATATATAATCTGTCTATTAATAGGCTATTCCTATCAGTGAAGATGATTTAACTCTTGTACATGATAAATGGTATGTAGAGAAAATCAAACAATCATGTTATATGTCTAATCGTGAATTATATTCATTATCCGGAGAATATGATGGAGTCTTCTTTAATCGGGTATGTTCGAGGTTTCGACTGTGGAACGTTTTAATTTATGATCTTTTGAATTATGTTTCTGATATGAACGGTGTTGTCTGAATTCTGATACTGATACATGACTTGCTATGCGCCAATCCCTGAAATGTTTACCTGAGCATGAACTCAATGGTGGATGGAGAAGTATGTTAGGTAATCGAATATTATGCACAAATTTATATATATATAACTCGACCAACCAGATCGATGATCACTCCACAATCACCCAAACAAACACACGTCTCACGTCAGTCTATCTACAACACAATCAACCTCGTCTGTGCTGCATCACACACACACTAATCCAAACTACACTTCGTCATACACATCTCCCTAATCAGCCAAACATACACATTCACTCTATACATCCAAATGTACATCATTCACCCACACCACGTTACAAATCATCATATCGGTACACATATCACTCAACACGAACAACCAACACAACTGTGTCCACCATCAGCGCAATCCAAATTCAATTCCACCATTCACCAATTCCAAACACACACACACACATTCACACTCACACACTCACACACACACTCACAACCAACATGCACAACTATCCCATACACTGAATCACATCTACTCCATACAGAAACTAATACACTCATTCCACACTACAACCATCTGTCCCACACCAATCTCTCTTCAACGACTGCACTCATGCGAACGATTATCGTCAGAACATATCCACACTGATCAGCATAGACTCACGCACACACGCGCACACAAATATTCATTGTCACAATCAGTTCACCATCACTGCTGTATACAGTCTCAGTGTTTTACAAGCAAATACCGAGTCGATCAGTGTTGTGCCGCACTCGTATAACATCATTCACTCGTTCGCGCTATCATGCATTCATGCATTCATGCATTCATGCGTCCATTTATTCATTCATTTATTCACTCGCTCACTCAATCACTCACTCCTTGAGATAGTCAATGGATCACTCGGTGTGTGTGTGTGTTTGTCTGACCACTTCAAGCATATTGAACTGGAGTCGGTCTAGTAGATGAAGGCACGGGACATGTAGTGGACGATCGGTATGATGCGGTATAACGGATAGGCAATAATGGAGTGTGATGTGATGGTTAGGTGTGGTACTGGTTTTCCAGAAGATGTGGACGACCAACTTGCACACAAACTCATCACTTTACATTTCTGTCACACATAATCAACACACATACATATCTTACACAACTTATATAACGGGAGTATTTTTGAATAACCACTTAAAATTTAAATGTCCCTTGGTATTTTACTCTTTCTTTTGTATGTTACTCTGCAAGACTCTTGAAAGTAGGCAATATATAAGGAAGTTTCATGGGTCGCTAGGTTATTTATCCTTCAATTTGAACTGAAACAAATTGTAGAAAGATTGTAAGTTAGATAAAACTAAATAACTATTTGATCTTATATCAATACTTATCAGTAGCATGAATTCATCATCACGTATACCATTGAATGTTAGAGTTATCAAATCAATTCATGAAACTTATGGAGCCCGTTGAGTTCGTCAGCGGTGGCGGGCCCACTACTTTTTGTGAGGCCCCTTATTTTGTCATCATTTTGATCGGAAGATGTTGTCGAAGGGTTCTCCAATTTAGTGTGGCCCAAAATCTGACTCCAAGTAGATCGCATGAGTGATCGTTGTCGAAATATATATATGTCACCTATCCTCGTATATAATCATTGACTTAAATCGCGTTAGTCAAATAACGGAATTAAATAAGTCAAATAACGAGAATGGGACTTTTGAATACATATATCTTGTATACTAAGCGAACGGAATAGAGGGATGAGAAACGACGCGTAGTGGAGTTGGCGGGTAAGCTAACTGCCCATTTAACCAAACGTTAATCATTATTTATAATTACACAAAATAAAGTTACAGGTACGTGATGTGTAATGGGATAAGAGGTGAACACACACCTACGAGCTCATATTAAAGCAGTCAAGATTGATAAGCAAATAATTAACAAGGTTAGAATATGACTCAAGTAGAATGAATAGAATGGGCTAGACTACCATGGAAAACCTGAAAGCACTGAACGTTCGTCCCACAATAGGACGAAACAGCCGTCCTATGTGTATGTTTGGGTGATTAGGGAGATGTGTATGACGCAGTGTTGTTTGGATTTAGGGTTACAGTGTGTGATACAGCATTGATGAGGTTGATTGTATCCTAGGTAGACTGACGTAAGGCGTGTGTTTGTGTGGAGTGATGATCGTTCAGTTGTGCACTGCTGAGGAGTCAAATACTAGATGGAAACGGCTATCCATTGGCTTCCAGGTTTTCCATGATGGTCTAGCTTCAATTGACTCATGATTTCAACTATTATTAAATTACTATAATATCCATGAAAACCCCTATCTGATATTAATCAGGATATGCTCAGTAGTGACTGTCTCCAAGAGTTATTTCCTAGAGTTCTAGTAAGAAGCATTGACCAGTGGAATTCAGTCGGGTTTGTTGTGAGATAGTAACTCACTGATGACAATGGTGAATATGTCGCTCAATTTCGTGGATTGGTTGAAGTTAGACATTAACACCATTAGATGCCGGCAAGTTCAGTGGTCTATAGGTTAAGTGTTCACATTCGAGACTGATAGATCCTGTGTTCTAATCTCGAGAGACAGGATCATAGATGCTCACTAATGAAGAATCCCATGCTGAAACGAAACGACCGTTCAATGCTTTCAGATCTTCCATGATGATCTAGCTTCAATTGTATCATAAATTCAACTATTATGTTAAACATCACTTTATGGGTTGTTTAGATTATTAAGTTTTTGATTGAGATCATAAACCGATTGATATTAAATCATCATTGAAAACCTGAAAGCATTGGACGGCTATTTCGTCCTATTATGGGACTCCTCTGTGGCAGTGCGCATCCACAATCTCGCACCCCCCACGAGGATCGAATCCAGAAACTTCGTTCTCGCACTCGACCGCTTAACTATATTAGACCACTGAGTCGGCTGAATCCAGCGGTGTTAATGTCTAACTACAACTAATCCACAAATCCTGTGAGTGGGATCGTGAATACGCAATGTTGAAGAGTCCAAAATAGGATAAAATGGCCATCAAATGCTTTCAGGTTTTCTATGATGATCTAGCATCAACTAACTCCATGATCCCGCTCGCGGGATATTACATCTTCTACATCCTATTCATCAATTATTATTTTTATAATCTACTCATAACATATTCATATCATATGTATTTGTATTTATGAAATAAACATGTAACATTGTTCTATAATCAATGAATCATTCATATGATAGATTTAACATTGAATATAAGTTCACTTATAATAATGATGCTTTAAATCTATTACATAATGAATATTTACATAATTAGATTATTGATTAGTTAGTTAGTTACCAAAAACATGATGTGCCAAAATATATATATATGAGAATTATAATAGTTGAAATCATGAGTGAATTGAAGTTAGAGTACTATAGAATCCCGTTTGTGGGACTTGTCAATAGTGCACATTCATGATCCTGCCTCAAAAGATTCGAACCTAGAATTTATCGTTGTCACGCATAAACGCTTAACCTCTATTCCATTTTTCTTTATTTAAAAAATATTCTTTAACAAACTAAACAGATTTAGGCACGAAATTCATTCATATTCATTTGGATAAATAGAGTTTTGGCATTTGAACTTGATGTCAGTTCCTGAAGATCTGATCCATAAAGCATTGGAACAATGTCAGAAGATTCATTCCCATGATAACCAATGACCAATAATTAGTTCATACGCCATTTGTTCCCTTAGGATCCTGGAGCTCATGTTCATCATGGATTTAGAATCAGGGTTTTCCAATTCTCCTAGGTGAACTCTCCGTGTCCACCAACCGAATATTAAAGCGCCTGATATCAATCAGTCAACAACATAGAACTTTGTACGTACGTACATCAGTTCGAGTTGCTATACCACATTAGCACAGAGATGCAGTTATCGATTCAAATCCCGTAGTGGTAGAGATACTAAAAGCATAAGTAGTGATAGGGAACATTAGGGTTTGATGATATTATTTAAGGAGTATAATCCAGTGAAATAAATTTGGAAAGAGAAAAAAAGGAACATGAAGAATTCAGAAGATTAGAATTTGGGAGAACACAAAGAGTGGATGCACCTGCGCCATTGCAAACGATTTTGAGCTATGTCATTCAAGATCTCTAACCATCGATTGCTATCGTTACGCGGTCCCCAACCAGGTAGTCTACACCTACCAACATGACTCAGTCCACTTGTCAGTGACTTCATAGATTTGTGCCATGTTTTGGTTTGGCCGCCCCTATCTTTCTTCCAACCTACTCCTACACCATAAAACATCGCACGTCAGAGCAGTCGGTGGTCGATATACGTAACACCGACTGATATTCGCTTCTCGTCCTCTCAATTTTGTAAACAACAGTAATACCTCAAAAAGACACTAAATAGGACATCGCTGTCAGTGGCTCTTTACGCGTGGCCGTGTGAGAGAATTTGAAGAAGGAGAGCTAGCTCTCCCACCTTCGGCCGCACCAGGGCATTTGGGGACTAAGCGTTTATTCAATAACTGGAAGAACCCTACAAAAACTTTAGAAATTAGTCTCCATTCGTTTTATAATTGATATTTACGATTCGTAAGAAGATATATTTACAGTTTTAAATGAGCTACAATGAATGGTGAAAATATCGATTCATAGTAGTTAAGTAGGTTTTTCTCTATTTCTTGATGATAGTGTATATGTATGTTACATCTGTTATAAGGCCCCCAAATGCTCTGGTACGGCCGAGAGTGGAGATGGTCCGTTCTACCTTTCCAACTGCTCTCACATGACCACATGTATATAGCCTCTGCCAGGAAAGTCCTACTCACTGCCTTCTCATGGCACTACTGTTGTTTACGAAATTGAGAGGACGAAAAGCGAATGTCCGGTGATTTAACCGGGTTGGTAGACATGAAGA